TGAGAAAGTTTAAACTTTGTATGAAGTTAAGAACTGAAGTTTTCTCTCCTATTGTAGCCTACCCATACGCTGCGATATGTCATCCAGAAGGGGCTCATTATTGGTTGATAGTCAACCTACAGCATATATACTGTTACATGTGTCCTCCAGCTGTGAGCGATTTGCAGGTTAAAACATTTTAGCACCTTTAGATGATGGCGATAGTTTAAAGGCTTAATATGCGATTCTTTGATCAGATGTCGCCCTTGAGCACCAGCATGAAACCAAAACAACTTGCGCCTCATTGTTGTGTTAGCATGCTAATGCTAGCGATCTTTAATATGCTCGTATCTTCACACTGCATGTAAATTTACCTGAAATGAGCGTGATCTAGAAACACAGTTAAGCAGTGAGTACAGTATGTTATTCTTCTTTTCTCTAGTCCCTCAATTAAACAACTTTTATACGCGAGGGGAGGAGCTGGGCTGGCTGTCTGGGCGATGTAAACAAAGTGAAGATAGGACTCTGACTCTGAAAACATCACAGACAGTGGGACTCGGGTGTTACACTCATTGTAGACAGTCATGACTCACAGAGTTATTTTCAGAGGATATACTTGATTTCTATTACATTTAAATGTGAAAAATCACATATAAAGCCTTTAAAGTTGGAATTAGTTGAAAATATACAGTATGTATTTTTTCAAAGCTGACAAAGAATTCTGACATTCCCAGTCTGGTTCTGTGATGGAGAAAAAGCTCTCAGAGGAAAAATATGCTTCATAACACATGAAACAAAATTTGAAATCTCACAAATATTCATGATATACATGCGCCTGTCTGTTAAAGAACACTGTCATATGTTATTGGCATCCAGTATCAGCTGCACTATAATGTGTTTTACATTTTTCTTATGTGTGTGGTGGAGTGTAGTTAAAAAATGAATCACATATTGATATGAAATTGTATGATTATATATCATGTACTAAATTATATGAAAAATAAAGTGTAGTGTATGCTTGTCTCATGCAGGGCAACACATGCTTGATCTAGACATGCAGTCATTGCTTTCTTAGCCTAAAAGTTTAAACTCATGGAGACTTTGAGTCAAACTTTGAGATGGAACATAATTTGAATTTCCATTATACATTTTCCATAGGACTCTGCAGTTTATTGATAGGTCTGTGCAGGGTAGACCTGTAATTAACACAGTTCTGACACAGTTGCCTATATAGGTCTCTGCAAATTCATCAGCAGCACCTTTTTTCTCTCTGTGTCAACCCCATGGTTTGGTCTTTTTAATATGTTTTCCCAGGTAAAATAGACCAGATGCAAACCCTAAAATGGGGCCAACTTTAAGAGGAATAGCAATAAGAGAGAAAATCTCGGAGAATTGGGTGAGATTTATAGGAAGCTCTGCAGACCGTATAAGGATGCAGCCTACTTGATGTGTTGATAGACGCAGGCAAACCTCCAATATGAGGCTTGGAGCCGGTGATGCTTTCATTAGTTCTGCTGACTGCTGACAGCTTTAAAAGCCTTGAATATTAATCAAGTTTTTTTTTTGTCTGCCTTCTACAGCTGTCCAGTCACATTTCAGAACATTAAATTAGAGTTAAATGACATGGTGCTGCATGAATCATTAACCCGTAGCCTCAGAATTGCTCAAATCTGCGCCACAGAAAATGGACAAGCTGTAATTATACCCTTTTTGAACTGCTGGGTTGCATAAGAGCTCAAGCTGAGTGTTCAGAAAGATTTTTATTACATGAGACGTATAAGTTTCTCAAAAAACATCTTACTCTGCAATCTGTGAGGCAACATTTTAAAAGGACTCTTTTTCACTGGAGGAATATTTTAGAGTGAAGAAAAGTCAGAATTTTTAATGATGAACAATTATCATCAAAACACATGCATGTTGATGAATATATAGACCAATATTCCAAATTGAAAGAATTATATCCATAATTTATGTTCACTTAAATGTTCTGTCAGGCAGGCAATCTTCAGTCGACTCGGAGGAAACCTAAAGATATGAAGTCCAAACACTAGCAGCCGTGTATGAGGTGCAGACTGTCATGTTTTTCATTTTTTAAGAAAAAGATTCAGAATTACTCTTTGGGAGGTTTCACACTAAGGACCCGGAAGTGAAGTGGGCCGGTTCATTTGATCAGCGTAAACACAAATGTACTGTCCTTTAAGCGTACTTGGGTGCTGTGTCCCAGGTGGACTCTGGCATGATTCATGTGTACTCGATGTATGGCGCGCAGAGATGTGACTGCAACCTTGCTCAAACTCTCATGTCTAAGTATGTTTGTTTCTTTCTTCTGTTATTCTCTAGTTTTGTGCTTCTTTATTTATGTTGTTACTTACCCTGTGTCTGGTTTCAAATCCTTTGCTTCCTGCCCTCCTGTCTGTGTCTCCCGCCGCGTCTGTGATTACCTCATGTGTCTCACCTGTGTCTAATTGTCTTCACTCCCCTTGAGTATTTAGTCTCCGTGTTCCCCTCCTTCTGTGCCAGTTCAGTCTTGTTCCTTAGCGACTACGTTCCAGCTTTCTTGTGTATTTTCCGAGTTAGTTTTCAACCAGTTTCTGAATTTTGACCTGCCTTAGCCTAGCTTTTTGGATACCTTCGCCTTAATATTTTGAATAATTGTGTACCGACCTCCATCTGAATAAACAGACTTTGCACCTGCTCGAGTGTTTGTGGAGTCGTTCATTTTGGGTTCTCTGTTTTATGATCCAGTCTGACAAAAACAAGTGGACAACTCTATGACGTGATTCAAAAAAGCTCTTGTGGCTTCGAAAACCGTCGTATCCACGCAGTATGGGCCAGTTTGTTGGGCCATAGATGTGGAAGTAGGGCGAGGGTCGTTGTAGGCATCTCAAAAATAAAAAAATCATCCACAGTTTGCAGGATGGACTCGAGTTGGCAAGTGGTCGCCATGGCTGTCAAGACTCTTTATAGGTGTCAAGACTCTTCGACAGAGCAGGGCTAGCTTTCCCCCCATTTTCCTTGTCTTTGTGCTTAGCTAAGCTAACTAACTATGACTGTGACCTTATATTTAACAAACATATATGGGATGTGGTGATTCTCATCAGGGGCATTTATCTTTTTTCTTAAACAGTAAAATATTGACTGGCACATGTTGTGTTGCCAGGTCCTAACAGATGTATTCTACTTTACTGTAATGTTGCTCAGGTCTGTAGGCTGTACAGGAAGTGACTGATCATGTTAAAAACTCGAACCTTCAAATTAAACTATTTGGTATTTTAGTCAAAAGCTAATCACCAACAACAATAAGGTGAATTAGTTCCAAAAGTTTGCAGTTGATTGTTGTGAATGTTCAGCCATCTTTGCTAAAGTAGAAGGAAAACAACACAAATAAAATAGGTTTAATTTGAATCAGGTATTAATTAACATAGAGGTAATTATACTAACATAATGCATTATTCCTATACCTGCTTTAAAGAATTTATAACTGCACTGCACACTTACTTCACTAATATCAATCTATATAGGGTGCTGCTGTTGTATAGCAACAAGACACAGAAATAGAAAGTCTTTTTTGTAACAAAGTTTCTCTCTCTCTCTTTATCTCTCTCTCTCTCTCTGTCTCTGTTTCTCTTGATGAAATATACGCTGATTGCACCTCCTATAGAGAGCGGAGCAGCTGCCTCTGATAAGCTGCTCCTATAATCGCTGCCAGGTGAAAAAAAAAAAAAAGGTTGCATGAAGACTCCCAGATGCAAATTGTGGATTGGAGAAATGTTTAACTCGGGCTGGAAAGTGGGTGTCAGGGAGTGTTTTCAGGGTGACGTGGAGGGAGTGAACGGGATGGTAATTCAGCCGGCCCTAATGTGAATGACTGTAATTAGTTAAAGCTAGTTAGACTGGATCAGTGCCCGTTATACTCCACAACACTGTGCTTCTAAAAATGTCTGAGAGAGATGGCATGCATGACAAACAACACAGCCCAACAGGTGCAGCTTTCTATATACTGCTAGTTTAATCAGCTACCACGCATTTTCAGAATCAAAAATAATGAGCCGCTGTATGTGCACAGTCCAGTAATGGCTGTTGAGGAGCAGCAGAGTTTTGCGTTATGACACCAGTGCTGATTTCATTAAAACAGGCAGCTTTCTGGGCCGTCTCCATAAATAATACAAGGTGCTGGGATTCATCAGCTTCTATGTTTAATCAAAACATCACTTGATGAAGATAAGTTTCCCTCCAGCTCATTCCCATAAAAAAAAACACATAAGAGTCCTAAAAACTGCCTCAAGATTCTGTTCATTCTGGGACATAATAAGCTGCACGGGCTTCATATGAATTTAAATGAAAACTCACATTTTCATAGCATCATGAAAAATACCTTCTTGATCTTACATTGTTTCCCCAAAGAATTTAACTAATCCATGATTTGAATTATATCTGACAGCAGGGAAAAGCTGCTGGAAAAAAATGTTGCCCCAGTTTCTGAAAGTGAGTTACTGACATCTAGTGGAAGACATGGGTTAGGAACAATAAGCACATTGTTAAACAATACAGTCTTATATTTACATTTCAAACATGATGACCTGTATTTAGTTCGGAGCACCTGAAGTGTCTTCTGTGCACACATATTGTTGTATATGTATACATGATATCTTAGCGCAAAATATATTTTTGTGTAGTTTTTGGGACTTCAGGGGATCCGTAATTTAACATGTTCACTTCTCCCCAAAAAAAACTCTACATTGTTTTCAACACTATCTATTTAATAGGGCACTTTTATATATTCACCATTTTCAAATGTTGCTGTAAATGAAATGAAATACGAACACACATAAGTTACAATGGAGTGTTAAGTGTTGACAGCACAAAGGTTATTGTTGTTGCACCTAACAACGTTGATGTTTTTGAACATGTGGGAGTGAAAGTGTTGAGATCTTGGATTAGCAGCTATTATCACCAGCCTCTCACAGCGAAGCGGAGGTGGGGGCTGTAACTTGACCTTGCCTCTTAATGGTTGTGTGACAATGGTGCCCCGTCCCACTGGCCTGTCTGTCCCTCTGTTGTGTCCATTTATAACATCCAGACACAGTGCAGAGGTTATCCTGAGGTGCCAGCAAGCACAAGGTGACAGGGTGCAGAGGAACAAAAGGGTGAGTAATGTTACTGTTACTGCTGCAGCTTCTTACTTTACCACCTCTTTTTGTATGTGAGATAATATATTAACATCCTTAATGTGTGAATGTTCTGAAATGAATATGACATTAGTATGTGCATCTAAATTAAACCTTTTTTTCACCCCTTTATAAATGTACTCTTATTTTTTGGCATTTAAATTCTATTTGTCACAACACTCTTTTGCATTTCTCTACTTTTCATTTAAATGACTTGCATGTATTTAAAAGTATCAAAGTGCTAACTTATACATATTTGACCATGTTTTCTAACAGCTCCTCTTAAATCATCATTGTGTTCACAAGTCACAATGGTAAGTGCATTCTTTTTTAAAAGTTTGACATCAGCACATGCAATGTTTTTTATATGATTCTCACATAAATACTGTTTTAAGATTTTACTGAGCTACAGTGTGGACAGAGAAAAGCAGCTTTTCTTTTTTTTCTTCCTCTCTTGTGTTCTATTTCTTTCCAGGTGAAGACCAGAGAGAAGTCTGCGGGCCGTCATGAGCATTGTGACAAGTGTTACAACCTCCACTGTCAAGCCCCCGTGCAGATTTCTCTTTCATGCATGATCATCAAGTGTCATAAAAACTGTGGGGCCTCCTTCCACATGTGCAAGCAAGAGGAACACCAGCTACTCTGTCCCAACGAGACGGTCCCCTGCCTAAACGTTTTCTACGGCTGTCCCCTCACCATGCTGCGCCACAGGCAGGCCAAACACCTGGAGGTGTGTTCTGCCAGCGTGGTCTGCTGCTCGCAGGAGTGGAACCGCTGGCCCGTTTCGGATACCAATCTGACCTTCTACAAAAATGTTTCCAAAAGCCTTCAAACGGAGGTGAACCTTGATGCCGCTCTGGCTCTCAGGGACCAAGAGCTGCTGTTTCGATCCATCAAAATGAAGAATATTTTCCCTGAGTTGATGGTGCAAGATATTTCTGATGGGGTCGACAGTCCTGTAAAAGAAGAGTCATCCTGTTCTCTAGTTTGTTGTGAATTTACATCAAACGGCCGCTCACCGATGGAGGAAAGAGAACCGAGTCAAGAGGAGAGGGATGCTTTGGCAACGAACAGGAATGTAGAAAATATTCAGAACTACAACACCTGGGAGAAAATATTCAAAAAGGATATGGAGGGTTGCAAGCAAACTGTCAACAACCTAAACAACAGGGAGGGGAGGGGAAAAGAAAATGAAAAGGAAGAATCATCAAACTGTCAGAGAGAGACAGCAGACTCACATGTGAGCCAAGAGAAATCGACTCCAAGCATGGATGGTGCAACTGGCCTAGCTCCATGGCAAGACGGGGTCCTTCAGAGGTTAGGAAAGGAAGTCAACATAGCTGAATATAACATGTATCTGGTTCACAATGGGGCGATGCTGATTAACTTTGGCCAACTTGCTGCATGCACCCCCAGAGAAAAGGATTTTGTTTATGGCAGTCTGGAGCCAATCGAGGTTAAAACTGTCCGAACGTTTAACATTCCTAAAAGCTATCGAGCAAAACGCTGTCACTTGAAGGATCCCGCACGCAAGGCCAAGACGACTCAACAAAGTGTTGACACCGCAGACCTTGGCTGTTCGCTCGATGATCTTCCAAAGTGCGACGAGGTTAGCACCACACTCCTGTGCTCCCTCGAAAAGGAACTGAAAGGACATTTAATCTCGGAGAGCTCGTCCGTCGATGCTCTGTATGTCGATGTGGGAACACAGACTTACAACTTTGCCTCTGCTCCCTTCAAACAAGATGCCTCACTCGCTGATGTCATCGCAGAAAAGCCTCCCGGTCTCTATGTGCATGTGGAAGCAGAATCTGTCACCAGAAGACACAACAAAACAAGCTCAGCCTTCAGCTACATGTGTGGCCACTTCTTCCGCCGCGATGAATTCCGCTCTCATTTCAGGAATGTGCACTCTGACATACAGGCCTCTGTCAGCGGCTGGTTCCAACAACGCTGCCCCCTAGCATACCTCGGCTGCACTTTCGCCCAGACCAGGTTTCACCCTTCAGGTCGCCCAGCAACAATCAAATTCTGTCAAGATGTCAGCGCCTTTGTCCTCCGGCCTGATGTCCCTTCATGCCTCTGTGCAGACGGGAAACCTGCAGCCCTCTGAGAAATGCTAAACAAAATCCAGATCCCCTGAGCAGCCTGCCCCTAGAGATCCTGCAGCATGTTGCTGCTTACCTCGACAGTTTCACATTAGTTCAGCTGTCCAAGGTCTCCCTTCTGATGAGAGAGGTGTGTGCCACATTGTTGCAGGAGAGAGGGATGGTCTCCCTCAAGTGGGAGAAAAAGACATACTCCCACGGGGGAAGCTCCTGGAAATGTCAAAAGAAGGCAAGTCGCCTTGTTTATTTTTGCAAATATTCATTAATAATCTGTCATAACTACATAATTCATGGTTATTCTGATGTCACCAATTATTTTTTGTCTCACACAGTTGAGGGAAAAGTAAACACAAGACCAAACTTCTGTATCAGTTCCACTTTAGTGTGTGGCACTGTTCCGCTACCTGCCATCGGAAAAATCAGTCATTCATACCGCCTGACAGCTGCTGCATTGTTAACACACTTAGGCTCTTCGTAGTCCTCTAAATATTACAAACTGAATCACCACCATGTTGGCAACAGTTAATAGGTTCCCTCTGAAGCAGCTGCTGGAGATTTGCTGTTTTTTTTTTCTGTGTCCTTATTGAAAACCAGTTGCTTATTGGGTCAGACACAGTGAGCAGTCTGAAGGTAAACTTGTTTGCTATGCTGACTTAGGTGTATAAGCAGTGCACTGGTGACTATCATAATTTGATTTAAATTTACTTTGTAAACAAAAAAAGAATCACTAGCAGGTCTATTGGAAGCCAAAGCAAAATGCATCCTGATTCAACCTTAAAAATAATAATCAGAGATGTGAGCTGTTTGAACTTTTTTCTAAATATATTTATCTATTTGAAAATTAGAGGATTTGAAAATAGGTGTAAGGGAAGTCACATTTAACAGCTGGATAGCCAGGGATGCTGGATTTACTTTAGACCACTAAACTAATCCTTAGACTTTTAGCTTAGTGCACAAGGCTTCAGGGACGCCGAGCAGTCTAATGGTCTGAGGCCTTAAAGGCAACCCCGGCAGCCTTGTGTTTTTGGATTTCAAAAACCCAGCCAAGTCTTAAGTGTGCTTTAAGGGGGACACTTTAAATGTTTTGGGATCATCACTATTGAGCTAGGGCTGTTTAGATTACTCATCACGAAATGCTATCTGATGTGGAACCTCTCTGAATGAATTTTTTTCACCCTTTTTGATTTAACAATTGATGCCTGATTTGCATAATTAGGGGTGTGACAGATCTGACTGCAAGCGCTGTAGCTGTTCGTCAGGAGGCTTAAGACCCGCCTCAGTTCCAGCTCTTTCCTTGTCGTTAAGTTGACCCACCTTTGATAGAGTCAGCATTTCTAATGTGACAACCACCATGGAGCTAAAGCAGCCCTTCAGAAACCGATCACTCAGGCTTCATCCATTATTATTTACAGTCTGTGGTTTAAACTTATTTTTCCTACCGCTCACATTTCAAAAACTATGGAACAAATAGAAGATAGAAGATAAAATACATACATACAGGAAGAACTACAGCTGACCTCAACACAGTAATTCAGTTAAGACAAGACCGTGAACAGTAAGCAACGCTTCATGATCCAAGTGGACTGCAATGTTTCTTGAAAGCGTTGCTCGGCTATAGTTTACACAAGTTCTTTCAGATATCTTACTGACCCACAAACAACAATCGTTAGAATTTCATTCCTAGAGAGAGAGAAATACACATGTGTATTTTTACACAGCCTGTCCGTGCACAACAGTTGATCATGGGACAAAGAGCTTGCCAATGATATCAGAGATGAGGAATGGCCCCGAGGCCTCGCTGCCAGTAAACCCAGTGCTACCATAACAAGTCAGATATGTGATCATTCGTGGAAACAAGGTGCTGATAAGGCTGCGTGGATGACAGCTGGGTATTTGAAGGGCACCATTTGTATTATCTTGATGTCTGACATGTGATAAAAAAAAAAAATGCTGTGATCTAGATTCCATTTGTATACAACGTGAACTGAAGCTCTCAGCCAAGGCTGCACTACATTTGACACATATCATGACAGCAGCCTCCTATACCAGCTCCCTCAGCTCTATGTCTGTCTTTTACAGGTTTGGGAGTTCAGCTCTTTGTTTTCCCCTGTGGACAGATGGAGCTTCAGAGACACTCCCTCCATGTCAGAGCACCTGAAAAGCTGCTCCTTCTACCAGAGAGACGAGCGCTCTGAGCCGGTGGCTTTAGCCTGCCTGGGAGAGGTCATGGACAAATATGAAGCAGTAAAGAATAAAAGATAATGCTCATGGTCTTTGTGGGCGGACCACAACACGAGCTAGGCCGTCTTTAGAACCACCTAGACATTATATGTATGCGCCCACATCCCATCTAGTCAATAAAGGCTCTATACTGTAGCCACTGTATAGGAAAGGTGGACACTGTATATGTGACTAATTGAATTGGCATCAACTGCATATTCTACGTTTCGACGTTATTAACTTCACCTTTTTAAATGCTACCAATAAGAAGGAGGAATGCTTCATGATTGTTCTGTTCTTGCAGTGTGTACTGAGAGAAATTGAAACTTCACAATCCCAGAGAGGACACTGAATTCTCTCATTTATTATTATAGTGTTTGAGAGAGGCCCGCACATTGTGTTACATTAGACTAGCTGCCTTTTTTTGCCCCACTGAGCTGACGAGTGTTGTTTTTTTTTTATCGTTTTTCTTTCTTGTGGTGGAAGAGCATTGTTTGAATTTTGCTGTTGTTGAGTTGTTTTTAACATGGCAACACTGACATCTACTGGAGAAAAGGCTGAAGTACATCTTCTGTGTGAACCCTTAATAAAGTAAATCTGGTATTTTAATGCTGAGCACAATTCAACATGTCCTGTCATTTTTGTTAGATGCACATTTTAGTATGCCAATTTTGACAGCTTTGCTTCTATAATTAGTATTTGTTAAGGAAAATAAGAGGATTCTCGTCAGTGTTTGTCAACCCTATATGTTCTGTAAATCCCCTCTGTGTTGCAATCAGCAGCATGTACACAGCAAGTGGAATCAAAAGGAGGTAAAAGCTAAGAAAAATGCTTTATTTATCACACATATCCACACAGAATAATAGGTTTACAAAAGTAAGTACAAACTCTCCACAGTCATTACTGCATCTCAGACACGTCAGGATTGCGTAGTTTGTTGATGACCTCTGTCAGCATTTTGTTGCACAGGGCTGCATACGGATTTAGAACCACTGCCTGCTGTCGAGCAAATTCACTCCCGAGTGCAGCTGCTTTCTCGAAATCTGCTCTGGCTTCGTCATTCTGGCACCTTAATCTATGTAAAAGGCCTCTCTGCACCAGCGCCTGGCAGGCTGTCCGATCATTGCTGCCGCTCAGAGAGATGGCTCGGTCCAGGTCTTCCAGCGCTCCTGTAGGGAGAGAAGAAGAGCTCTGTGAGCAGCCGGGGCTTAAAGTCACTCACTGCTAGATTCACTCCAAGCTATTCAACATAGATTCATTTCTGTTACTTTGAAACCTGGTAGTTTAGAGTATTCTTTCAAGTATGCATGTGCTTTATCAGGGTTGGATGTGAAAATGTACATTATGTATTATTATTTTCATTATTATTATTATTATTATAGTATTTGAATATTCAGTCTCAAATGTATTAACAGTCTTAATACTTGTACAACACTGAAGTGACAAACAAAGACATATTAAGATCCATACAGTACTTTGGAACTATTTTGCTGCATTGTGATCCAACGATGATTCACTACATGCTCAATTCATTTCACTCATTTTCTTTATTCATTTTCTGCATATTATTTTTAAATCGACACATAGGCGTTGTGTTGGGAAATATTCAGACGATCTTGTTTGTCAGCCTGAATAACAACAACAACAACAACAACAACAACAAACACTTGTCACCGGGTTACAGACAAATTGAAAAGCACAACCTATAGATAGCAACTCCAATTTTAGAAGCAGACAACGGCGGTGAAAGATGTTACAGTATTGAGCACAAGTTGTGATTGACAGTCATCTCCTGGCCGTGAATGTAGAAAATTAACAATACCACAGCAACTCACTAGAGGGTTTAAAAATCCATCAAATAAAATGTACAGTGTTTACTATAACCTACAAATGTATTATTTCAGTAAATCATACCGTAAGACACTGAATCTACAAGACACAGAGGACCTTTTATAATACATCCCTAAAACACTGGAGGTTTCAGCAATGACTTGAGAAAAATACCCAAATCCCTGTGATCCTGTACCATTAGTGTATACATCCCTGACATGCTCGTAACATACAGCAGGTTAAAATAGGGAACAGCAGACTGCTGCAGAGCCTGTGAAGTACCACTGCTGACAAAGTGAATTAGATAGACAAAGCTCTGATATGGTGTCACGCTGGTGTCAGACTCGACAGTGTGATGTGTTGGCACACTGTGCTCGTCTGGAAAGGGTTATTATTGAATTTGTGGCATGTACCTGCTGTGTTCCCCTGCAGCCGCAGGGCCTGAGCCCGGTTGTTATAGGCTGAGGCTCTCCCAGGCAAGATCTGGATTGCCTGGCTGAACAGTTGAAGTGCAGCTTGCAAATCCCCAGCCTCTGCTGCCGTGACACCCTGCATCTCCAACTCTTTCACTTGCTTCAGCAACTCTGTGTCAAAGCCACTGTCTGGCAGGGGGAGATAAACAGGTTGAAAAAGCACTCAAACTCAATTGACAGGTACCGTGGCGAGCAAAACACAGAAACGTCACCAAGAACTCAACTCGGATTAAAATGTCATGTTTTTTTTTTAGTTTTTTTTTTTTAGTCCAGGAATGGAATGCGTTCAAATAAATTCAACATGCTGTGAAATGATAAACATAAAATGCTGTGACATGATATGCAGAGACACATCAAGTCAGAGGCTCACGCTCACCATCATCAATTAATTCCTCCTCTTGGTTCAGGCCAGGGATGTCTCCAAAGGGGGTGGTGGGGTTGAATATAGCTTGAAGTACAGCTCTGTCATGTGCCGAGGCCATCTTACTGGTGTCTGTGGAGAAAGCAGGAGGAAAAAAGGCAAAAAAAAGGAAATCATGACACCTTATTTACAGCAGGGTGGAGAATTCTTCCTCCCCTAACTTCTGCCATTTTCAGCAGCCAATCAAAGAAGGGGGTGGAAGCAGGGTTGGACTTTGAGATTTGCCGGGTCTGAGCACATCTGTATTTGGTTAACTCAAAAATGCAGGCCAGGGATTAGTTAGCCGGCATACTGCGGAGCTGCAGCTATAATAGTGCAAGAAGACGGAGTGAAACATCCCTTCAGAGATAGGCCTGTTTTATATGTATTTGTAGATAATACAACAATTAGTAAGGACGTATACATGCTCTTTTGTTAAGTGTCTTTAGATAACATTTGTTATGAATTGGTGCTTTACAAATAAAGATTGATTGACTGATTGATTGATCAAATTATTTCAAAAGGATGTAAAGTAATGAGAAAGTTCTTTAAGCAGTCCAAACCTCATGGTATTTGTAAAAGCTGTTAAGATAAATATATCTTTAATGTTCTTTAATGAGCATAGACACATTTACTGTAGAATAAATCATGGACAAATAACGTTGTTCTCAGTTGTTCAGAAAGACTGATAAAAGTGACTTTTCACAAAAAAGCAGAAGCTGTAAGGCACAGATGATAATGGACCTGGACCACAGGTCAGCTAAAAAAAAAACAGTGCAGGACAACATCTTTATCAAACTGTATTTATACAGCACCTTTCAGACAAATGAAACTTTTAAACTGCTTAACAAGAGTGCAGAAAAGTTATTGACGAAAAATTAGTTTATAAAATCACTGAGAGACTAATGCACACCAATAAGATAGCTCAGTATTGTTGCAGTACTGCTTCCGACCACTGGTGGCAGCACTGAACGCAGGTTGACCCCCCATGTTGGATTTTAAATTGGTGTGGCGTTTACCTGCACTTCAGTAGACAGTTTACTTTGACGTGGCTCTACTGTCAGATGTTGCTGGGACGTTCATGTGCATCCAGGTGTGTTTGTGTTTGTCCAATTATAATTTTTTATAGCTTCAAACATTTGTTATGCTAATAGCTTGAAAGTATTGTCAGGCAGACGGCTGGTTGTTACTATGTAGACTGCATTCACCTGAAAACTATGATTTACTGAGTTGCTCTACCTGTAAACTCTATATTCAGATAAACTAAACTGAACAATGTTGAATTTAACAGTAAAATGATGCAGTCTTCTCAAAGTGATGCTTTATTATAAACATTCAACAGTATAAACACACTAACACTCAAATGGCCTTTTTATTTTTATGGCAAAAAATATTTTTCACTCTTCTATTAAATTAGTTACATTTGTACTTAAGTAATGTTTTTTTTATTACAGCAATTATTAAGTATTTAACTTCTTTACAGTGTGTTTCGGCTGTTTTGACTCAAGTACAGATGTAGGCTCAACACTTCCTACACTCTTTTGTAATGGTGGAGAACAAACTCTCAAGGCCAGGTGTATTGGTGAAATGATTAGCAGCAGTTTGCAGCAGACAGTGTGGAGGTAACTCATATGTTTCAGCGTGATAATCAGCAGCAGGATTTCACTTTTACCTCCTAGAAAATCTGGAGCTATAATTGAGTAGGCTATGGCCAAGGAGTGGTTCTTCTTTGCAGCCTCTCAGAAAAAGGCCGGAACTAGCCTAGAAATAAAACCCAGTGGTAAAGCTGCTCACCATCACCATGTTGGATACACTGTTTTGCTTGTATATTGCATGTATGTTGCATGTATCAGAGTCAAGTATTACTTTATTCTGCAGGACTCATCCAGACAGAATATGGCTTAGTGGCTGCCCTCTGCTATGACCGACGACCTAGAGATTGATGCACTTTGATAGCATGATAAAGAAGCTCCTCTAAAGGTAAGACCCCATATTACATGATTTATGCAGTGTCATACAGTTTGGCTACTGGATGTTTATGGAACTTTATTTTGGTGTTACTGCACAGTGTGGGAAACATTGCATTGGGAAAATAATTGTGATGGTCTTCATTGTTGCAGTCTTTGACAGTTGTGTTTGCATAAAATGAGGACAGTATCACTGATCCAGAGGTTGAAGTCATTGTGGGTTGTTCATTTTCTGTTGCATCAGATTGCTGACTGAAGCTATTTTTTTTGGGTCTACAGGCTCTACACAGGCCTAAGATGTGCTTACAGCTCTTGCATGTAAAATGTACAGTTAAACATGAAGGTGTAGATTTAGGACCTAAACCATTATATTAAACTAGTAAACAAGCAGGATACATCTTCAGGGAAAATTACAGATTTGTTCAGGATGCACTGTGAATAAACTGGATCCAAGCATTGAGTAACACATAATTTTTCAGATTACAGGGTTGTTAAAGTAATGCTAAATTATGACTTTGTACAGTGAACATCTTCTCTGATCATTGCTTCTTCTCACTGTGAAACGCCAGATAGCTTAATTTCTGCAGAATCAAAAAGATTATTCAAATGGAAGAGTCTGAGGAGGAAATACAAATTCCTCTCGGTTAAAACTGCTCACGTCTCTTACTGTGATGGATCTCAAATAGACGCTGCTTTGATTGGAGAACACAGTTTGGTTCGGCTGCTGTAAACAAGAGAGCATTTTGAAAGTACAAACAGTGAATGTGTTTTGACAGTCAACACAGTTAACCTGTGATGAAAACAATTGTGTTTTATTCCAAAGAACAGAAATTCACCTAAATATGTAAATATATATATACATATGTTTAGATTCCTTGTTGATCCTTGCCTGCTTGGGTTGAGGTTTTAAGAAGCAAATTGTGATTTCAAATGTGAACGTACATGACAGGAAAGACATTACAGAAACGGGAGACAATCAGTGCGCACAACTGATAAGTCAATTTAAGTGCTTCATTTCTGCAGCGATCTCTACGGCAGCAGATAAGAGCAAGGTGCCAGAAAGTAACTGTTCAATAAGAGGTGTTGTTGCATGTAACAGGGGCAGATAACAGCGGTGGGGAGCAGATATCGCCCCAAGGGGAAACCGATAACAGCTAAAGTAAGTGATACTTCATGAATGCAGGTGACATGGTTCAAAACAATATGATCAAAACACTGAGACGTGTCAGAAATCTCTTACCTGCAAGCATCTCTAGTAAATATTTGCAAGTAGTTTCCTGGGATGAAAATAGTTCCAGCTCAGGGTCTTTTTCTGTTGTTTGCAATTGGTGTGAGCAGTGATGTGGAACAAGAGACATCTCATGGAGGAACAAGCAAAGACTTCTGGGACTTTTGAAAGGATAAGATAGATTGGAAGTAGAAGCTGAAGCACAGTTAGTGAAGAGTGGGCCTTGCTTTGTTACAGATATGGATTTCTGGTTGTTTGTAGTTTGTCTTTATGAGAGTGGTCAGCTGCATTCTTTGTGATGGACTTTGTCTTTGAAACAAAAATCAGAACATTGATTTCTGTGTCTATTTTATACTTTATTTCAGACACGTAGATCCATATCATCATAAAACACAGAGTAAATATAAACACAGACATCAAGGAAGGAATAAAATCAATACACTTCACAGTTTGTCAGTAATTAAAACACAAAGAGACATTTGCACCAATGTTTCCAGAAACTTGAGGAACACCTCGAGTCCCATAGTGAGCTGAGTGAGGGACGTTATGATGACATTCTCTGAATCAATTGATGGACACATACATTTACATGAACTTTCTCAGCACAGCTTCATTTGTCGAGACATTATTAGTAACAAACCTTTGACATCACTCGTCCGTCGTAGTAATTTGAGTGCATCATTGTATGCCGAGTGTAACTTTCTCATTTTAGCTTTACTGTAATTGCACCACGAGTGAGCCGTGTACAGTGGAGTACAGTAAGCTCTAACAAGCTCTGTTTTAACATTGTGTCTGTGCACATTAGAAATGTGAGTGCCAGCATATTAGCTTGAGCATACAGTTAACAAGACTGAGGCTGCACATCATCATCATCATCATCATCATCATCAGTCAAGTCATTCCTGAATATAAGTCCCACATATTTGACTTTGTCCACCACACTAAGGTATAGATGTTGTTTACTTTAATTTGCAGGTTTTTATTGTTTTCACATTATATAATGTAAACAGTATAAATGTTTAGAATTAAAGTCTTTAAGATGGAGAAGCCGGTGGCCTAGCGGTTTGTGCGTGCGCTCCATTTACAGAGGCTTCTCCTCGAGAGTGGGCAGCCCGTGTTCGAACGACGATATAAATAACATGTTTGACATATTCTTCTCCTTACTCTAAAAATGACAGACTTTTATAGTGATTTTTTTTTGTTTCATTTGTTGCTTGATTGTAATAAACTAAAAGTGTCTGTGATCATCTAGTACTCACTTGGTGACACTCTGATCTTGATCCCCAGAGAGACATGTGATAAGGAATTTCTCTCCATCTTTTTGTAAAATGCAGTAAAATATGTTGACAACCATCCATACAACCATCCATTTGACAAACTAGACATGTCAAAGGTATGAAGAAACCTGTCTGTGCTTTGTTCTATCTTGGGTAGGGCTTGCCAATTTTTAGTGGCCAAATTTCCATGCGGTGTGTTGACAATAAATACTTTCTGAAAGAGTGGTCGGAAATGTATTCACAATAAGGCATGAGTGGAGAGAAATGTTTTTGATGTGGAGTGCGGTTCATTTTCTATAATTACAGCTGTCATTCAGTCTGAGGGGAAACAGAACCCTTTACCGAAAAAACTGCCCACATACAGACACGGTGAAATGACGTACACATGACAGACAAATGAAAAATGATTGGCTATAACCAACTATGTGCTAGAGATTCCTACTTTCTATTTGTGTTGGATGAAGGGGTAAATCATATCCACACACACTCTATGAGATAACAATGTCGGACTTAAGTCAACAGGAGTGAGGAAATGACCATTCAGTTTAAAGTTCGAGGCACTCCCTGAAGAGAAACAGAGATGTGTGCTTTTTTTTAGAATTGGAAAAAATGATTTCTATCCTTCGATCAACTGAGATTTTGATTCTGATTGATCGTGAAATGTTTGTACAAAAAAATGTTAAAAATTGATTGAAAAAAGTTCCATTCATTCTTCAATCGACTGTCTGAAACCCAAAGATAATTAATCAACAATCATTTCAAACCATATTAAACTGATACACGTGCATGATAGATGTAATCTTGGTACTGTTATGACAAAATGAAGCTTCAGTGACTCATCTTGTAGGAAACTAAAGCATTGATGATACCTGCTTGGCCACTGCTGCAGGTTAAAATATCTCATTTCAACATCTACTGCTGCTGTGAGTCTGTATTCCACGGCCATACGAAGAAAATCTAATCAGGACAAATTATAGAAAAGGTTTTAAAAGGCAATTAAAAACCTTGGACAGTATAGTTATTTGCCTGGATGATAAAAATCCTTCGGGGATTAATACAGACTTCTTTATTACTCAGTAGAGAGAAGTCTTCTTTTTCACCACTTGAGGGAGCTGTTGCTGCTTGTTTGTTTTTTGTTGTTGTTGCAGGGGCTATACTGTCTTGACTGCTCCTAATTCACCGAGTCAGCACAGACGGCTTGATCCCGCAGGACTCCCATTTTCCACAGGGTAATAAGAGTTAAAGAGTGAGGGCCAGGCTATCATGTTCACGGTCACTCAGTAAGCAGCAGATTTTCTACAGAAGCACAGTGTTGTCCCCCATGGCCTCCCCAATAGTGCAAAAGTGGAGAGGCAATTGTGTGAAGATTACCAGCCTCCTATTACTGCAAATGTCACTGCATCAGCACCGCTCAACGTCATTTTGTCAATCGGAAAACACATTGGCAGTGTTTATAGACTCCAAAAGCAACATCTGAGAGGCAGCTTCTGTTGTAGGCCAAGAGGGAAATTAAGAGATAATGAAAAAAAAAACACTGACCCTCTGTGACTGTACTGCTGTAAAACCTAACAACAACAACAACAACTTCTAACAAAGAACACATCCTTTGTATTTTCTCTGAGCAATTACAACAACAATAGATTGATAAATCAGACTGCAACAGCACAGTGTACATAATGGGGAACAGCATTTACTGAAGTGCTAGACCTGAATGAGACAACATTATTACTCATTAGCTTTTAAGCAAACATAATGGACTCTAGTTAAAAGCCTTAAATCTCCTGTTGGACTTTTAGGAACACACCAAAGAGAATGTGTGATAGAATGCAAATGAGCACCGCAACATCAATAAATAAAACCAAATAAAATGATAATGTTAAGATTAAAGAAAGTCTTCTGCACTGGGGCCTCCATATTTTTCCTTTTGCTCTCCTCTTTCCTGGCTCTGCAGTCGCTTCATAACGCCGGGGTAAAGAAATGGACTTGGATATCATTACAGCCCTGAGAGGCTTTTGGCTTTGCTCCACTCCTGTCTGTGAATCTGACATCAAAGCATGTGCTCCTAATCCCCCTACCCTATGGAGGTAAACAGGGGCCCATGTGTCGATACCTGGCCCGTTATGATGACGAAGTGCTATCGCGTGCTGCGCGGGGGCACTCTGAGCTGGATTAAAACAAAGTAATCCGCTCTATGGAGGGACGGGGAATAGCTGCAGAGGTGCCAGAGGTTAAGCAAATAAACAATGTGCCTCTTTTATGGGAAATCTTGAGCAACCCCTTCTGTGCTGCGGCACAATAAGTACACACTCTTTCCTGTCTCTTTTGCCTCTGAAATGCGAGGGAAACGCTTGCAGCAGCATAAAGCTTCCTTTTGGCTTTATGTAAGGTGAATAATAGTCACTACCCCAGTTACATGCCCAAATATGACTCATAGTTTCATCTGTGCATTGTGCAAATACTGAATAGAAAATATAAAAGCAATGGATTTCTTGGAGAAATTGTTTATTA